TTTCCCTCCTGTGTGGGCACTTTTATAGTCAGCTTGTGAAAGGAGATGTAATAATTAACAGGAAGAAACTTAAGCATCACGCTGAGAGGAAGAAGAGGTGTTGTAACAAGCCTCGGCTGTGATGCAGAAGGAATGCAATGATGGGCAACAGCGCCTGCTCTTCTCTCCCTTCCTACATAGTAGGGACAACAAATTTTAAGTAGTAAAACCTCAGGGGTAAATGAGAAGCTGTGTGAAGAGCTACGAGCAAGGATCTCATAAATAAACCCAACCTATCATAATCCCACACAATCTGTCTTGCCTAAATTGACATCAAAGATGCCAAAAGGCACAAGAAGATGGGAAATCAGCCCATCCTTAAAACTGCAGGCACTGCTTTCCAGAAAAGGTTCTCAGAAAGCAATTAGCAAGGCTTGATTTCCACAGTCAAGGAAGAGTGACTGAGTTCTGTAGGAGAAGGCAAGACCATAAGGGAGTAAGACCAAAGGTCCACATCACTCAGCATCCTCTCCAAGAGTGAATATTGGTAGATACTTCAGGAAAAAATAAGATCCATATTCACCCCAACTCACCTGTTTCCAAGGTGCTGAAGGTTTTATCACCTCTGAGGTTGCCCAGTCTCTTTTGGGCCCACGTAGTTCCTGGCTTCAGGGAGTTTGCAGGGCGCACCAAGTTGCATGGTTCAGTTGTGTGTGGTCAGGCACATAGGCTGGCACCTCGCTGGGATGGGCAGCCAGGGGATTATCAACCAGGAGCTGTGCGCCACTTACCAGGTGCCAAGCTCTGAAACTTGGCCAGGTCGAGGGAGAATAGAGATGCTGCACCTCCTGGGGTAGCAATCAGCAGTTGAAGATGCTGAGAAGTGGAGTGGAGCTGCTCAAGGACACAAAATAGGTTATAAAGCAAGGCAGAGAGAGGCAAATGTACAGGCTCTTGGGGCAGCAAGGCTGGCTGGCTCGTGGGGAGCACCGTGTGCTGCTGGGAGAGCACGGCAGCCTCAGATGCCCACAAATCTGTCCAAGGCAGTGGGTCACACTGGCAGGTACGGGGGCTGAGGATGGGTTGGAGACCTCAGGTCACTAGGGGCACAAAATCCCCCAGGGTACAGGTATCTTCTCTTCCCACACTTTTCCCACCAAGGCATCGTGGCCCAAACAATTTTTGGATGGTAAACAACCAGGCTGTACCCTGTGAAGCGATGCATTGTGTTGAATAGCTAAAATTCACATTTTGTAGGACAGAGCTAAGCAGGTAACCCAGTCCTCAGGGTCAGAGGGGGAGCCCTGCACAGCAGAGGAACTAAAGTGCATGTTAAGAAAAACATCTTCCACAATGCGCTGGGCCCTTTGCTCTGTGTAAGCAATTTGCCTCCTGTGTGATTTGTTTCTGTAGCCCAGGCAGTGACAGACCTCATTGCTGGAGACCCTGATATACAAACAAACTTTTTGCTCATGGTGACTAAAAGCTAATTTTCCCAAAACTCCAAAGACACTTTTGCACCTGACACGATGGAAAACTTGATGGGTGCCTCACTGCCTTGGGTTTTATTGAAAAAACCTTGTCACAGATTGCTACAGCCCAAACAGCAGTGCTGTACGTTCAGATCACTCTCTTGCCCTTTGCTCTTGCAGTGAGGATGGGGTAGTGGCTGTTGAAATACTTTTAAAAAATTAGTTGTTATACCAAAGGCTATGAAGATTTTTTTAATCCTTACCTCAGTCTTGGTTCTCTGTGTGCAGCAGTTAGTCTTCAATTAGCTGCCCCAGGGGGTTATGTTACATCTTGTGTGGGTATTTCACAGCCTGATGAGGGTACCTGTCAGGGATACTGATAACACAGGATATGTTATTTCCAAATGCATGTAGGTGCCTCTCCCATGTGGTTCTCCAAACCCAGACATGGCAGCAGCACCCAAGGTTGCAGTGGTTGGCGCGGGAGTCATCGGCCTGTCCACAGCACTGTGCATCAGAGAGACTTGGCCCAGCTGCTCCGTGACGGTCCTTTCAGACCAGTTCAGCCCCAACACAACCAGTGACGTCGCAGCTGGGATGCTCATCCCTCACACCTACCCAGGTGCGTGCAACCCAGCGTAGCGTTGCCTGTGGCACTGCATGAGGCTGCATGCCCAGGTGTGCAGCAATGCACAGAGGTTCAGGAAGAAAAGTGCCATGACCTGCATTCCCTGTCTGTCCTGTCTCCTCAACGCTGGCTTGTATGCTTCTCCTCTTTGTATTTTCCCTCTCTGCAAGTTTGGTTTTGTTTACATACAGGCACACCGACCCATGTGCAGAAGCAGTGGTTCAAAGAGACCTTCTCTTACCTTTTTGCCATCAGCAACTCAGCTGAGGCATCAGAGGCTGGCATTCACCTCATTTCTGGGTAAGAACGGTCCCTGGGGCAGCCTTTGGTATGTGTGTGCTGGAGCAGGCAGGCGTATTCCCTCCATGGTGTAGCTCTTATGACCATATTGCCAAGAAAGTACATTGCAGCTGCTCAGGTAGGACGTATTTTCAAGCAAAATTCATGCACAGAGAAACCACTCAATACTGGACTGCACAAAAAGTCTTTTAATAATTGCTGTTTTCTATACTGCCATCTACCAGCTGCTTGCAGCAGGGGCAGTCTCTTCATAGGGATGGGACTGCAGGATCCTGCAGCTTCAGCAAGTAGGTGTAGGGATGCAACTGGGGTGTCTGTGCATTGGGGGTGTTTTATGCTGCCCATTATCTACGCAGAAATTCACCTTTTGGGAGTGCTAAGGCTGGGCACGCTGTAGCTTTATGGGTACCCAAAAAAACAGGTGTGCAGGTGGCCCTACGTGAAGGTCCAGCCAGGGTGGCTACAGCCATGGTGGGGACACTGTGTGAGGGGACTTTGTACTTCTACATCTGGAATTACAGTGTAGCTGGAAGAACTCTCTCCAGTTTACTTACTCCAGTGTGTCACCTGCAAGCTCGGCTGTGGCAGCTAAGGCACGTGTTGCAGCAGCAGGCAGCGATGCTTCCCTGTTGCTGTTAACCTTGCAGAGCTGCACTGATGGGCGGGAATAGGTTCCTGAGTTCCTGGGTTTGTGCTAAGATTGCTGTGACACCTAACATGGCAGAGCAATAGTGGCTAAGTTTTGCAGCTTTTTCTCTATGTCCTTTTAGGTGGCAGGTCTTTAAAAACACTCCCGAGGAAGAGTTACCTTTCTGGTCAGATGTCGTCCTGGGATTTCGAGCAATGTCTGAAGCAGAACTCCAAAAGTTTCCACACCACCGATTTGGTCAGGCCTTTACAACACTGAAATGTGACTGCCCACCCTACCTGCTGTGGCTGGAGAAAAGGTTGGTGTTGCTGCCAGCTGGGCATG